TTCCACTTTTACCAGAGTATTTTTTAACACAAGTATCTGTACTTTTACTCAAGTACGCAAAGTGAGTACTTTTGCCATCTCTGCCTATTTGTGAGATAAAATGTTTTGAGTGTGTCAGTCAGAATAGGAGTGAGTTCAGGGAAATCAAGTACCAGCCACTATGCTGTAATGTTTAAGGTAGGGGGGACAGAAAGCAGATGACGGGTGAAGGGAGGGTCAGATAAGAATGAGTTCAGGGGGGACCAGATTGTTTATCTGGCTAAAATTTATGTCCTTGATGAATTTAAGTGTTTTTTCTTGGGAATAACCAAATGTGTGAGAAAGATCTTTATGTAGGGGGTGGGTTTGTTCCTCTGGGGGGAATGCGTGAGGTATAAATGCCTCAGTCAGAGAGAGCTCTATCTCACTCCTTCCAAGGACGTGAAATAAAGTGTCACTGAAGGTTTTTACAGGCAGCTTTTATATTTGTCTTGCTTAGTTAAATTCCCTCCAAATTAACAGTGTTTAACAGCCAGGCGGCGGCATCTGTTTCACGCAGAAGGGATTTGGTGTATTTATATTGTGCCAATTCACTATAGATTTCATCTTAACCTCGTTTACGAGACAAAAGCCCTATTTAATATCCAGAAATGATTATTGAAATGAGTGTAATGGAATCTAAACATACGGCCAAATTAAAACTCGGTCCCAGTTCTAATACTGTGCTGTCATATACACCTTTATTGGATTTGCTGTTAAAAAGGTGTAAAACCATTGACATCATTTAGGAAATAATTGTTTTCTTACTGATGATGCAATTATTGGTACGCTGGCGGCTCAGTGCTGATAGGAAAGCACGTCCTCCTGTGCTGCTTGGAGGCTTTCCTCACAACTTTAACGTACAAATCTTAATAATAATTTAACTTTATTAATTTCACATTGGAGAAATTTACCTCCGCATTAAACCCCTTGACCTGCTCATGTTTATCTCTTTACTGAAATGGCCAAAACACAGTCACATGGTGTTTCATCCACACGCCTTTTAAACGGGGCTTTAACATTTCTTAAACGTGTTTCAGTTTGTTTTTTTTTCAAGTATTTTTGGTTTTATAGCTGTGTAAACAAATAAAATGAGATTATTCCACCTGACATGTGTGACTCAGCGGGAGTAATGCAACAGCAGGTATTCATATTTACCCCCTAATGGCCGCCATCATTGGAAACTAGAGGCTGAGACCTTTTCAAGGAGAGGTCAGAGGTCATGTGTGACATTTCAGGTGATGGAACCGGCATGCGTTACATAAGCTTGCTCTGTTATTCTTATTTTCTATTTAGTGTTTGGTGATTATTGGTGAATTTCAATGAAACTACGACTAAATCTTTGGAGCAGTTCTATTCTATTCAGTTTATTTCTATAGCTCCAATTCACAACATGTCATCTCGGGTCACTTTCCAGTTCACCAGATCATCCAGTCAGATTGATTCAAAGTTTTCTATCTAAGGAAAACCAGCTGATTGCATCGACTCATTGACTCTTCAGCAATCCCTCACACTAAGCATGCTTGTAGCGACAGTGGAGAGGAAAAACTCCCTTTGAACAGGAAGAAACCTCCAGCAGAGCCAGGCTCAGTGTGAGCGGCCATCTGCTGAGGCTCACTGGGGTTCAAGGAGAGCAAAGGCTTCGCCTCATGCAGAAGGTCTCCAATAATGGAAATCAGCATAACTGTCTGACCAGATTCCCTTTTATGAGCGGAAAAATTCATTTTTGCACTTTTGGCATTGTGCCCTAATCCCATTTCCTCCCAGCATCCTGCCCACTAAAACCTTTGTGGAACAAACATGCTTCAACTGATTCAGTCCAGATTAGCTTTAGTTAGAGTCGAGATGTGGATCTATAAAGTCTGAGGGTTCATCCACAGTTTCAAATGGGCTTAATTGTGTTTTTCAGTGTTTATTTTGGAAAAGAAATTGGTGAGGCTGTTTTATATTTTGTTTTTATTTTATTTTTTTCAGTTTAATCACCTATAAATCAGACATGGTGACATTTAAAATAGTAGTTCTATCTGAAAAAAATATTCCTCTAATACAAACAAATGTGTTTCCAATTTATAGTTTGGGAGCTGGACTTCTATTCACATATGTCATTTCGGGCCAAATTTGCTCCTAAAACCCTCAGGGCTTAATGGGCCAGTCCCCTTCAGGAGCAGTGGGCTGCCATCTTTGGGCGCCAGGGGAGCAGGGTGGTGGCAACTCTGGCTCAGATAGTTGATTTCAAACTGACAACCTCAGGATTGCCCTAACAGGATTGCCCTAACCACTAGTCCGCCGCTCCTCTAAAACCTTCTGTGGGGTTTTCTTAAAGGTATTCTGCACAAAGGCAGCGGCGAGAACGTCTTTGTGACGGAGCAGCCTCCAGTCATCACCAGCATCATGGGAAATGGACGCAGGCGCAGCATCTCCTGCCCGAGCTGCAACGGCCTTGCAGACGGAAACAAGCTGCTGGCGCCGGTCGCCTTGGCGATGGGCATTGACGGCAGCCTCTACGTCGGCGACCTCAACTTCGTGCGTCGGGTGTACCCATCGATGAACACGACGGGAATCCTGGAGTTAAGGTACAACCAGACAGCCAGAAAGGAAACATAGGCCTTAGAAGACGGAGCTGTTATGTTGCAGAAGAGAAGCTGCACAAAGAGAGGGCTTAGCGCTTAATGTGTGACACAACCCGTCTTTCTGTCGAACCACAGCAACTCCACAGCATGATGAATAAAAGGCGAGAACCAAAGGATAGAAAGACATGAGCTTCATTATAAACTCAGCTTGATATTATTTCCCCAGAGCGTTACATGTTTACGTTTCCCTTTTTCACACCTTCAGCTTTGGATTTTTGTTCTTTTGGAATTTCTCTGCAGACTGTGTGAATTAACATTTGTTTTCTTCTGCTTTTATGTCCTTTTCTTCCTTAAAGGAACAAGGATTTCAGGCACAGGTGAGATCATTCTACCAATAGAAACCGCCTAACTGTGCTAACGACAGCATGCAGTGTCTTCATACCCCTTAAGATTTTCCTCATTTTGTCGAATTGTAGTTAAAAAACCTAACGAGTTTTCTTTCTGTGTATTTTTTCTAAATTAACACAAACAAGAGCAGAATTGTGACAAAATTTATGATTTTCAAATTTCTTGGCCTGATTTATAACTGTATTCTACCTCTGTTACTTTGCTGCCCCTAAATAAAGTCCAGTCCAAATGTCTGATATCTGCATTCTAAAGTTAAGATGGATGCAGATGTTCTTTGAAGGCTTCAGAGGTTTGTTAGAGAAAGAAAGCAGGAGGGAAGTTATGCAGGAGATTTAGGCCTAAATTCTAAATCATATCCCAAAACTATGATTTAGAAACTCACAGAGGGTTCAATAAATCATATTAAAAAAGAAAAACTCTCTTTTTACCCAGCATGCATCAGAGCAGACTTGTTTGTTCTCCAAACCAGGGGCGGATTTAGGAAATGTGGGGCCCTAAGCAAAGACCGGCAGGGGGCTCTCTGAATGGAGAAGACATAGAACAGCCCCATTCTCCAGATAGAGAAATGTTAATAGAATAGACATCCATTATCTGTTCTAGGTTGTGTCCCTCTCTTCTTGTCCCTTTTCTTCTTGTTTTCCTCTCTATGTTTTGTACTCAGCTGACTTTTCATGCTGTCTCTAAAGGAATGAAAGATTTTTTCCAAGCACTAAGCTCACTTAGCTGATTGCTCCTTCCTGTGTTTCCAAAAAGGCCAAAGTAAATAACCCAGTCCTTCTTTTCACTGTAGACAAGCCATGATCTGCTTATCTGTTCTCCATTTTTCATTTGGATGAAATAATGGCTGCATGAATCATGACAGCAGACAAGATAGAGGAGAGCAGGAGGCGGGGTTACCAATCTACTCGCTCTGGAGAGCAGAGTTCGCTGCTTTTAGATGTTGTCTCCAAAGTCTCCAGTAGCAGAAAAAAGTCTCTAGATTTGGCGCTAGGAGCTTTTTAGAAATCAAAGCGCTAGAGGGGTCTGAAAAGTGGCTAAATATAGCGACTAAAGCGCTAAGTTGGCAACACTGCTCTTTGCATGGTTTGTTTTCAAATGGTTTGCTGCTGTCTGTTTGGACCTTTCTGAACATGTGCAGCAAATGGACTGATCCAATATGGTGGACACTGAAGGGGGGGGCTGAGACACATTTATTATCAGCGTTCTGATGGCATTTTAGCCAAAGGATTTTTATCAGAAACATAATTAATGTGCACAAATAAGGAATAGTTCTATTAACCATATGAGGCCCCCAGGAACTTGGGGCCCTAGGCAAATTTCTAGTATTGCCTAATGGTAAATTCCCCCTGCTCCAGACTGACAGCTGTCCCAGCATGCACTGCGGCAGCAGCAGCTTCCAGGTTAGCACTCACAGAGCTCAGAGTGGAGGTGAACTTTGAATGTGGTGATGTCATCAGTAGGTTTCCCTTACCTTTGACCCAGAATTATACTGCGTTCTCCCGTTCTCCACAAGTCCAAACTTTCCTGTGTTCTTGTCAAGAACGTACTTGACGAGGACACATGTCCGTACTTTAGTTCTTGTGAATTGAGAAACGGCCTTTGACTCAACTACAAACCTACCCAAATATGTCTTTTCATCAGACCTGTGGTAACGGACCTCACTGAACACACCATTACTACAATGAAACATGACGATGGCAGCATCATGCTGTGGGTTGAGAGGAAGGTGGATGAATACGATTTACTTTTTAAACATGACAAAATTCAGAAAAGTCTAAGGGGTATGAATATGACGCCTCCTTGTGGAAATGTTTTAACTAAAAGATGACCTGCTGCGTTGTTCTTCTTCTCCAGCAATAATCCAACCCATAAGTACTTCCTTGCGGTGGATCCTGTATCCGGGGCCCTGTTCATCTCAGATACCAACTCCAGACGGATTTACAGAGTCCGCTCGCTGACGGGAGGCCGGCTGCTGTCAGATAACGCTGAGGTGGTGGCGGGGACAGGGGAGCAGTGCTTACCCTTTGACGAACGCTGCGGTGACGGTGGAAAAGCCACTGAAGCTACGCTCATGAGCCCTAAAGGTAGGATCCTAACCCAACTTTGCTTTCATCATCAGTTTGAAATAATAAGAAGAATAAAAGTCGGTTAATAATTAGATTTTAGGAACAAAAAGCTTTGATATGAATCTGTAGTTAAGCTCAGAAGAAGTTTTACATAATAGTAGCGCCTGTTGGCTCCACTAAAGCAGGACAGAGACTGAAACGGTTTATAACCCAGGTTAATGTTAAACTTGTAATAGAATCATTTTTATGGATCAGTGGATCTCGGCACACTGTGACACCAAACTGTCAAGCATGTCAGGCTGTAACATTTCTCGTCAGTGACATGACAGAGTGTAATGTTGGGCTGCAGGATGCCACCACTCTACTGTATGTTTATGTCTGAGTCGCTTTATTTTACCTTTCATAAAGCCTCATTTTTAAAAAATCAACTTGTTTCTTTGCACTCAAATCTTGTGTTTTTCATGGAAAAAATTCCCATTTTTACTGAGCAACAACTTTCTATGGTTTTCTGCTCTTTATTTTCACTGTAAATCATAAAATTGTAACATTGGTTAAGATTTTATAGGAGGTATGTCTGCAGTGGGGAAACTAACAAAGCTGAAACAGAAGAAAAGGAAAGGATGACAGGAACTTTCAAAGAAGGAAAAAAAGAAAGGATGGAAGAAAGAAGGAAAAGACACGAGATTGGGATGAAAAAAATACACTTGGAAGAATACAATGAAGGAACGTTCATAGAATAAAATAGAAATCCCTTTATTGTTCAACAATGGGGCAATTCTGGTATTTCAAGCAGCAAAAAGATTCTAGAAAAAATGGCCACACAAATGTGGACCTTAGAAAAATATATAAGAATAACAAAATAGTGAAGAGCTAAAAGATAAACAATAAAATACTGTAAAGTGTTTAAACAATATAAAACTGGAGAATAAATAACCAATATCCAGCTATGGATATTTTTCCAGTAATGGATATTTGAAAATAGCAGCAACATCAGAGATGTGCAGAATGACAGCAGCAGGTTATTTAACTGACTAAGGTAGAAACTGAGCAGAATCAGCATGAATGGAAGAACTGGTTGAGGTTGTTGGGAACAGTGGTGGTTCTAGAGTCTTCCAGCTGCTGGGAGGAAGGATCTGTGATAACGCTCCCTGGTGCATTTAAGGTGCAGCAGACTGTCACTGAAGGAGCTGTCCAGTTCAGCACCAGCTTCATGCGTTTAGTGAGGATCCGTCTGTTTCCCACCTCCTGCTCTGAGTCCAGAGGGCATCCAATCACAGCTGGCCTGCCTGATCAGCTGATCCAGCCGCTTCCTCTCAGCTACAGATGAGCCGCTGCTCCAACAGACACTTCATAGAAGATGGCTGATGCCACAGCAGAGTCAGAGAAGGTCTCTAGGACCCCCCCCTGCACTCCAATAGACCAAAGGTTAACACTTAAAAAAAGGATTCAAGGAAGGGAGAAGAAGAAACAATACGGAAAATAAAAAAGAAATTAATACGAAATCTTGGACAAAGATTAGAACCTGGAAGCGCAAGTATTTAAAGTCGTAGGGAAATCATATTTAAATTTCAAAGCATTTTGGCTTAAACATGTATATAAATATACTCTTTATCAGACCATAATGTCCAAAAATGTAGAAAATTTCAATTAAAAGAAAAATCCTTTCTTAAAATCTGTGCTTTTTTCCCATTATCTTCTGCAGGCCAGTTAGTTCTACGTCAGCCTGAACACCTAAATTTGGCCAATCATATATCAGCGGTCATCTGTCAATCACGTTTTCGGTCATAGCTTCTTGATTCATGTGTCGCAGCTAATATACGCAACGGTTGAAATCAGAATCCTTTCCTTTCCCATTGAGTTGCGTCCCAGTGTTCACGGGGATGGACGTCTGTGTCTTCGGCAGGCGTAGAGCTAACAGAACTGGCAGCGTTGCGAGGCAAGGGCTCAAACATGTACGGCTGGAAGCCTTCTACACCAAACCAAGCTTCTGCCGCCCTGGCGTCCTCTTCCACAACATCTTCGTCCCCGCTTTCCTCCTCTAAATAAAAAATGGATGACGGAGGAGACTCATCCACGACCTCCGACACTAAACTCTCCTCCTCTTGCATGTTTCCGCTGTCCATAGCGTTCCTTGACAGCGTCGTTTCTAAGTCACCAATTTAGTGCTACTTGGTCCCAATGGAATTTCCCATTGGGAACCTGCTAGCACTAAGATGCTAACTGGTTAGCAAGATGCTTCCCACAAACCGCCCACAACCAAACTTGCTTGCTAACCTTCCTCCACAACAATCGACCAATCACATTTACTCTATTCAATCATGTAAAGTTGGGCATCACTCAGGGGAATTTGGAAATGTAAGGGTTGGAACGGCCGCTTCCTGATTTTTTTTATTTTTAAAAAATGTTCCCATACCATTCCAGACACATATACTATCATTTTATTCCGTAGTCGATCCCTTATGTACCTCTGCTGTTATGTATCTCAGTTCATCTAGAATTTATTTTGAAATACAGCTTCATGTTAGGCCAAAGAGCTGCTAAAAAAAAAAAACTAGTTAGGAATAAATGACAAGTTGAACGCTGAGATCAGAAAAAGTGCACAAAGTGAAAAAGCAGGGCAGGTAAAAGTGCAGAAAAGACCGCTTTCCATTCCACTCACAGCCTGCAACTGCCCTGTGAGAGGCACCCATCTCTGCATCCCGATGAGTCATTGGGAAAACAAACCCTTCTCAACATTTCAGTGCCAGTTCCATCCCCGAACAGCCGCCCACCCCCCCTCACACCCCCCCCATCTGCTGAGGCACCCAGCGATCCAGCTGCCAGGGCTGCCATCCGTTTTTTTGACTGCCGCACAGAGTGGAGTTTAATTGACTTAAAATGTCTGCTGGGGTTGAGTTATGAGTCGTCACTCATGCGGTGTTCATCTCTGCACTCGACAGGCATCGCCGTGGATAAAAATGGCCTGATGTATTTTGTGGACGCCACTATGATTCGCAAGGTGGACCAAAATGGCATCATCTCCACTCTGCTTGGCGCCAACGATCTCACTGCCGTCCGACCGCTGAGCTGTGACGCCAGCATGGATGTCAGCCAGGTAAGGAGAGAGAGTGAAGGTGATTGATGGCTGTGATAGATGATGATGTAGGGTCCCCTGGGAGCTGAGCTGTGAGGCTCCGTGGACACCAGCCAGCCAGAGGGTCAGGGTGAGACTGATATAGGGAGGAATTAAGGAGTCTGTGGATCAATGAATGGATGAGAAGAAAGAGAAGCCTTCCGCAGTCACTTAGAAAAATTAAGAGACTTCGCTAAACCTTGGCATTAGTTACTGTCTAACGTATACACTCTCTGTTTCTGCCTAACAGGTCCGTCTGGAGTGGCCCACAGACTTAGCAGTGAACCCCATGGACAACTCTCTCTATGTCCTGGAAAACAATGTCATTTTACGCATCACTGAGAACCACCAGGTCTGTACTACATGGGCAAAAACCCCTGAGGGTGAAAACTCGCTATAATGTTCTGACAAGATTTGGTTCCAATTAGGCTTCCTCAGGCCAATTTAAAAGTATAAGTTTTAAGTTTTATCACAGTGGTAAAGTAACTCCTTTATTAGTTCCAATATTACCCAACTTTCTATGATATAGAGCGCTTCAAAGGACATTAAACTAAGGTAAAAGCCCATTTTCAGTACAAGAACTCAAGATAGTTAAACCTACAATGGACTGGCTTTGATCAAAGCATATTTCTATGGATCTGTGAATTGGGAATTCTGCCAAAAGGGTAAAAATACTATAATAAACACTGAAATGAGCAGTTTTATTTAAAGCAAAGACACCCCATGTGCAATTGGAACATTTTAGCATGCAGATTTATTACTATTAATGTTCAATTCTATTCAGTTTATTTCTATAGCTCCAATTCACATCATGTCATCTCAGGTCACTTTCCAGTTCAACCAGATCATCCAGTCAGATTGATTCAAAGTTTAATATCTAAGGAAAACCAGCTGATTGCATCGACTCATTGACTCTTCAGCAATCCCTCACACTAAGCATGCTTGTAGCGACAGTGGAGAGGAAAAACTCCCTTTGAACAGGAAGAAACCTCCAGCAGAACCAGGCTCAGTGTGAGCGGCCATCTGCTGAGGCCCACTGGAGTTCAAGGAGACAGAAGCAGACATAGAAAAAGAGGCATAGATACAAAAAGCAGCTGTAAAAGGCGTCCCCGTCTAGGAAACACACTGATATCAGATTGAGCTTGGCCATCTAAGGCTATGAGGCTCCCAATTTGTGACAATCATAATATCTGCTCCTTCTCCTACTCGCTTGTGCACCTGTTTCTGTGTGCCAGTCAACTTCTGTCACACACCTATTGGAAGCCAGTTATTGTTAGACTGGGGTTATTTCTGTATAATCTCATCATATATATATATATATATATATATATATATATATATATATATATATATATATATATATATATATATATATATATATATATATATATATATATATATATATATATATTTATTATTATTATTATTATTATTATTATTATTATCATCTCTATTGATTCAATATAAAAGAAATGCTCATTACCACAAAATTTGTAGCTAAAAATAAAAACAGCCAAATAATTTTATGTTATTTCTTCCTCCATCATTCTCAGATCATGCAGATCTTGTCTCATTCAGTTTTTTCCTGTTACTGTGTCATATTTCTCTCATGAGGAATGTTCATAGATAAACACTGAGTGGTAGAAAAGTAGATCTAAGCCTAGAAGTCTATGCTCATAAATCGCAACGATAAAACAGAAAAATAGCTTATACCAACCCCTCTTATAACAACTCTAACTTAGCGTATAGCAACATTTCTCCCTTTATTCATAAAACGGTCAAATCAGGGACATTTCTGAGGAAGACTTTAGCCGAGGACAGGTGGTCCAAAATGGGAACTGGCCCCAGAAATTGGGGACATTTGGTCACTGTACCTTCATACTATGACCAGATGTCCCCGACATGTTGTGTGGGTCACAGATTTTGTTGCTACACCTGAATAACCCCAATATCTCATCTAAAAAATCACCAACTTCCAACTGGTGTGTGAAACAAGAATCTTACTTTATTAAATTATAAGTTTTCATGATGTAAATACTAATGTGTTTGAAAGGGATTTTGTTTGTATTATGTCTCTGTTTTAGATTATTGTTAGATTGATAGGAGAGGAAGAAGATTACAAGAGTGATAGAAAGAAGATTGAATGAGAGTGGAAATAATAGAAAAGTGATGGAAAGGTCAGTTAAAGAGATTGAAGAAAAATCAACTTAAAAGAGTTAAACAGAGAGCAGGCAGAAGTCAGAGAACACCGGACGACCAGATGGCAGTAATAAACGATATCGATTGATTAATTATATTCATCTTAGGAAAGGCACATCCCTGGATGTTACACTTGATTTTTGTTGTTTAAATATGAATCAATATGTAAAAACAGATTAAAAAAACTCACTTTTTCAGTTTGTGAAAAGGGCACAAACATGTTCCCTTTGGACCTTTAGCTATCGAACATGTTTCTTAATGTTACAAACCCCAAAATGCTTAAAAAGCACCCCATGCTAAAAAAAAAAAGAAAAACACATATATATAACATATGTACCATGTGCACTCATTTGCTTGCTGCAGGCTTGTATTTGCTATTTTGAATAATTCCTCTTCCATTAATTGATTATTGAGCTGTTATTTGCTGTTTCCCATAGGTGAGCATCATTGCCGGTCGGCCCATGCATTGCCAGGTTCCAGGCATCGACTACAGCCTCAGTAAGCTGGCTATACATGCAGCGCTGGAGAGTGCCACAGCCATCGCCTTATCCCACACCGGCACCCTTTACATCGCTGAAACGGACGAGAAGAAGATTAATCGAGTCCGACAGGTATGCCCTGGAGAAACTTCAAGAACTTCTGTTGGACTTTCCTCCTATTTTAAAATAAATTAGCTTCTTTTGAGATATTTTTGGCTGCTAAAACTGGCAGCTCATCTGGTTCAGGCTGAGATTTCCAGGTTACATTATTCCTACTTTGTGTTGAGTTAAACTGATTTTTTGTTTTTGGCAGAAACATTCAGTTTGTTTGTTTTCTGTTTGGGTTTAGGTGAACACTAATGGGGAAATCTCCCTGCTGGCTGGAACCGCCTCTGACTGCGACTGCAAAAATGACGTCAACTGCAACTGCTTTTACGGCGATGATGGCTACGCCCCCGATGCTGGTTTGAACTCCCCGGCGTCCCTGGCCGTCTCCCCTGATGGAACTCTCTTCATCGCAGATCTCAACAACATTCGCATCAGGGCAGTGCAGGCCAACCGGCCGGGTCCAGCCCTCTCCAGCGTGGGGTTTGCTGGTTTGGCGCAGTATGAGGTGGCATCTCCAAGGGAGCAGGAGCTCTATGTATTCGACGGCGACGGGCTTCACATCCAGACGGTCAGTCTCGTGACCGGCGAACCTCTTTTCAACTTCACCTACGGCCCTGACGGTGAGCTGGCCATGCTGGTGGACAACTGCAACAACACCATCAAGGTCAGGAGGGACGGCCAGGGACAGGGAGGAGGAGCCGGCCTGCTCAGGCTGGTGTTGCTGCCTGAGAATCAGGTGGTGACTCTCGGATTGGACCCAACTGGAGGCCTGCGCAGTGTGTCTGCCATGGGCCAGGAAGTGGCTCTGCTGGGCTATAGCGGGAACACGGGGCTGCTGGCCACCAAGGCAGATGAGACTGGATGGACCACGTTCTATCAGTAAGTCTCTGCACACCTACTGTCTACAATTCCTGAATTCTTTTAAAATGTTACATGTCACGCTTCTTCCCCCTAGTGCTAGCTTTAAGAACTACAGCTGAAATATGTACCAGCATATTTCTGTGCTGTATTTTTATTTGCCCCCCTCTTTAAACTATCCTTGTTTTTTCCCTAGATATGACAGCGAGGGCCGCTTGACCAACGTGACGTATCCGACGGGCATGGTGACGAGCCTCCACCGGGAAATCGAGCGCTCCATCAACATTGACATCGAAAGCTCAGGCAGAGACGACGACGTCACCGTCATCACCAACCTGTCCTCTGTTGAAGCTTCATACACCGTGGTGCAAGGTAGAGTGACTCAACGCAGAGCGGCAGGCATTCAGATTACTTTAAGCCGTAGAAGTTAAAAGGAGCCCAATCAGAGGACTCAATTAAGTAAGATGAGTCACACAGAGTTCTTCCTTCACAATCATTTTCACAACCCCCTCTGTGATGGTAAACATGCTGCTGCTGACTTTGATTTGCACTCATTTATGTGCACGCTCCAGGAGATTATTCTCCTTCCCTTTTCCCTCATCCTGCACCCTTCTCCTCTTTATCCCTCTTGTGCAGTAAAAATTACCAATATATAAGTTGTTAATCCCATCTGGGTCATCCGGCTTTTGAATGTCATCCCAGCAAAATTCATTAACTCACGTTGAGTGAATCCTGCTCAAGCCTCAAGCTCTCTCTCCACACGCTCGCTCATCCGGTCCCCGTGATCCCTGAGCTTATTTGGTGTGTTTAGAACAGATGAGGAGGAAGAGGAGTCGTCCTCTTACCTTTGACCGGCACAAACCTTATAAACATTGATTGGGACCGGGCCAATCAGGCCTAGGAAGCGCTTGCAAATGCAGTCAGTGATCCACCTGTGTTTCAGAAGCAGTGTTGTTCACAGCGCCTCCAGTCATTTAGGTTTTCGTCTACAATGTGTGGGTTTTTAGCTCGCCTCTCTCCGCTGACATCCTCACTTAACCGTCTCTCCTTGCTTTCCGCTCTTCCTCGCGCTCTTCATTAACTCCTGCGCAGTGAATTCTCCCCGGCCCCTCAGGCTCTCATTTCACCCCCTCTCTGTCTTTTCCTCAACCTCGCCGCCGTTTTATTACCAGGTTGTTCAGACAGAGCGAGCAGGAAAGATTTATCTAAAGGCTGGTGCTGCCAAGTCAGTGGGAAAAAAAAAAAAAATGCTTCCCTTGTCTGTTTGAGGCATTGTTAAAATGTGCCTGGAGCTTTATTACAAATTGGCCTTATGGATTACTGTCATTTATGGCAGAGTGTCAAACTGGGAAAAAAAAAAAAAATCTTTTCACCTCTGTGTAAATTAAATAAAGGAAAATGATAACTCTGCATCTCCTGGAGAAATCGGCTCAAAACAATTTTATCTCCATCATCGTCATCAAGACGTCTGTTTTCAGACATCAGAGGGGAGAATTAGCCTCGGCATTAGCTATGGGCTTATCTCCTTCCATTCTTTAGATGTTAAATTGTAAAGATAAAGAGGTTGTATAGCAACATTAGTTCAGCATGAATGTTTTCATTAAGATTATTTTTGACTTTGAAGGACATAATCTGGAAAGTTATCTGTTCCTGACACCAGATCTTGTTCTTTTTGACATGAGCCTGAACTAAAATCTTGCATTTTGATCCGATACCAGCAGAAATAAGTATCTCTATATATAACTACCTGAATATATAAATAAAAGGTCACCGATCAGTTCTAAAAACATCTTCAGATGAACCCTTATTGATCCCTGGAGAACCACAGAACCAGATTAGCTCCTTACAAGGAGTTTTCAATCATTCTGGTTCATTTTATTTTTTAATGTTCTGCAGGGGTGGATTTAGGAAATGTGGGGCCCTAGGCAAAGACAGGCAGGGGCCCCTCTGAATGGAGAAGACAACACCTCAAACAGCCCCATTCTCCAGATAGAGAAATGTTAATAGAATAGACATCCATTATCTGTTCTAGGTTGTGTCCCTCTCTTCTTGTCCATTTTCTTCTTGTTTTCCTCTCTATGTTTTGTACTCAGCTGACTTTTCATGCTGTCTCTAAAGGAATGAAAGATTTTTTCCAAGCACTAAGCTCACTTAGCTGATTGCTCCTTCCTGTGTTTCCAAAAAGGCCAAAGTAAATAACCCAGTCCTTCTTTTCACTGTAGACAAGCCATGATCTGCTTCTCTGTTCTTCATTTTTCATTTGGATGAAATAATAGCTGCATGAATCATGACAGCAGACAAGATAGAGGAGAGCAGGAGGCGGGGTTACCAATCTACTCGCTCTGGAGAGCAGAGTTCGCTGCTTTTAGACGTTGTCTCCAAAGTCTCCAGTAGCAGAAAAAAGTCTCTAGATTTGGCGCTAGGAGCTTTTTAGAAATCAAAGTGCTAGAGGGGTCTGAAAAGTGGCTAAATATAGCGACTAAAGCGCTAAGTTGGCAACACTGCTCTTTGCATGGTTTGTTTTCAAATGGTTTGCTGCTGTCTGTTTGGACCTTTCTGAACATGTGCAGCAAATGGACTGATCCAATATGGTGGACACTGATGGGGGGGGCAGAGACACACTTAATATTATCAGCGTTCTGATGGCATTTTAGCCAAAGGATTTTTATCAAATACATAATTAATCTGCAAAAATAATAAATAGTTGTATTAACCATAAATGTAAGCAGAGTTTTATGGGGCCCCCAGGAATTTGGGCCGTAGGCAACTGCTTAGTATTACCTACAGGTAAATCCCCCCTGATTTTTTTCTTACTTTATGATGATTGGCTTGGTTTATGCTACATTTCTGGTCCTCCTCTTTAGTAAAACAAACATATCAAAGCCCTTTTTCTTTACCTGGACACAAACCAAACATTTATCACAATGATCAGCCCAATTCAGATCAAATGAAGCAATGAACAAATATTAACAGCTGCAACCAGTTCTGGCAACAAACTTCCTCGTCTGCTTCAGACGAGGAAGTTTGTTCAACCTTCCTTGTCAAATACAGAGGGATCCAGCTGTGCTTTATTTAATATACATAATGCTGGATTATGGATTTGATCCAGCAGAGAGAAATGTTTTGCTATAAGGTTACAGAAAATTGGATGGAAACTTGATCGTTCACATTAGATCATCTCCACCTACAGACCAGGTGAGGAACAGCTATCAGCTGTGCAACAACGGCACCCTGAGAGTGATGTACGCCAATGGAATGGGCATCAGCTTCCACACCGAGCCCCACATCCTGGCAGGTTCTGTGAGCCCGACCATCGGCCGGAGGAACATCACTCTGCCCACCGACAATGGCCTCAACTCCATCGAGTGGCGTCTGCGTAAGGAGCAGACCAAGGGCCGGATTACCGTGTTTGGGAGGAAGCTCAGGGTAATTTTTCACTCACCTAAACACATTTTTGTCATATTAAAAACAAATTACGATGTATTTGAACACGGTTTTATATAATCTATCTGAGAACAGTTGTTAGGCTGAAGGAAAATAGTTTTTTACTATGATCTGAGGTGTGATGTGGATTATTTTTCAGCCTAAATCTTTTGCTGGTGGCTGATCAGGTTTGTTTTGCTAAAGACTGGGGAAGATTCTCAGTCATTCAGGTCACAGTCATTTCAAAAAAGTTAAAAAAGACATCAACTGGACTTTGTTTCCAGGTTTTAAGACGTTTCTCTTCCATCCAGGAAGCTTTTTCAATTCAAAATGTCAGAAATAGCGTTTAGTTCCAGGTTTTATCAGCAGCCCAACAAAGCCTGGTTTTAGTTTAGAAAACATGCAAATAGAAACGGATGAACGGGTCCCCCCCTTTGGAATGGGGGTCGTTTAGCTCCTTCTGTTAGCCTGCAATGCCCCATACCTGTCTATGTCTCTGAAAGGGGGGGTGTTAGAGGGAATAGTTGCCTGGATGAATAGACGAGGTCTTCTGTTCTCCTGTAAAGAGGTTGGGGTTTTGATGTTAGTGGGAAGGTAGTGTAGGTTTTTGAAAGCTGAAACATGAGTCCACCCCCTCTGTTTAAGGTTGATTTTTCTTTCTTACCATACATGGCTTCCTTCACGCCCCTCTCAAACCAACTTTTTCGGAATGACTATGTCTGCTTGTCAGCACCAAAACAAATTCCTTGTAAACAAACTTTTGACGCAGGCATCTTGAAAGTGAAAAAGAGTTAAATGGTAAAGGGTTAAAAAATGTCAGCAGAAACATTCATAATTTTTGGGGGGGGTTAAACCTCCAGGAATATTACTAAATCTTCGGAAGGTAAATTAGAATTGTTGAATTTCTTCTCTAGGCTCACGGCCGCAATCTTCTTTCCATCGACTTTGATCGTAACACTCGCACCGAGAAGATCTACGACGATCACCGCAAGTTCACCCTGCGCATCATGTATGACGCTCAGGGCCGGCCGGCCATGTGGCTGCCCAGCAGCAGCCTGGCGGTGGTCAACGTTTCGTATTCTCCCACCGGGCAGCTGGTGGGGCTTCAAAGGGGAAGCATGAGCGAGAAAACCGAATTTGACCCCCAGGGTCGCATCCTGTCCCGCTCATTTGTGGACGGGAAGGTCTGGAGCTACAGCTACCTTGATAAAGTAAGTACATCCATCTTTAACACTCATGTAGGATGCAGGTTTTTAGCAGCAGTAATTTGAATTGCAGAAGTGAGTGAAGTAATATGTCTTTCTTAAGATATTTAAGCTGCAAATTTGTCAAGGGGGAGCAAATTATCATCCATTGATAATGCCATGGTGATAATCCGTTCTTCAACCCTCTGCTGTCCTCCTCCAGTCCATGGTGCTGCTCCTGCAGAGCCAGAGGCAGTACGTCTTTGAGTTTGATGCCTCAGGTCGGGTCACGGCTGTCACCATGCCCAGCGTCGCCCGCCACACCATGTTCACGCACGTGTCCGTCGGCTACATTCGCAACACCTACAACCCTCCGGAGAGCAACGCCTCCATCATCCACGACTTCAGCGAGGATGGCCGCCCGCAGGCCACGCACTACATGGGCACCGGCCGCCGCGTCCTCTACAAGTACGGCAAGCTGGCCAAGCTGTCAGAGATCGTGTACGACAGCACCGTGGTCACGTTCGGATACGACGAGACGGCCGGGGTCCTCAAGATGGTCAACCTGCAGAGCGGTGGCTTCTCCTGCACCATCCGCTATCGCAAGATGGGCCCCCTCATCGACAAGCAGATCTACCGCTTCAGCGAGGAGGGGATGGTGAACGCCAGGTTCGACTACACCTACCATGACAACAGCTTTCGCATCGCCAGCATGAAGCCGGTCATCAGTGAGACACCGCTGCCTGTAGACCTCTACCGCTACGATGAGATCTCTGGGAAGGTGAGAACCTTTATCTTTGATATACTGTTTACCTTAACACTAGGACTCCCAGAATTCTCATCCTACTGGAACTCCCACTAGCCGTCAATTTGACGGGTGACATTTTTATCCAATGGAATGCATGAGTAGTGCAGCAGCCAGGGCTAACGTTAGCCCGTCTGCAGCTGCCAGGGCTAATGTTAGCCCGTCTGCAACAGCCAGGGCTAATGTTAGCCCATCTGCAGCAGCCAGGGGTAACGTTAGCCCGTCTGCAGCGGCTAGGGCTAACATTAGCCTGTCTGCAGCAGCCAGGGCTAACTTTAGCCCGTCTGCAGCGGCCAGGGCTAACGTTAGTCCATCTGCAGCAGCCAGGGCTAACGTTAGCCCGTCTGCAGCGGCCAGGGCTAACGTTAGCCCGTCTGCAGCGGCCAGGGGTAACGTTAGCCCGTCTGCAGCGGCCAGGGCTAACTTTAGCCCGTCTGCAGCGGCCAGGGCTAACTTTAGCCCGTCTGCAGCGGCCAGGGCTAATGTTTGCCCGTCTGCAGCGGCCAGGGCTAACACTAGACCGTCTGCAGCGGCCAGGGCTAACGTTAGTCCGTCTGCAGTGGCCAGGGCTAATGTTAGCCCGTCTGCAGTGGCCAGGGGTAACGTTAGCCCGTCTGCAGCGGCCAGGGCTAACGATAGCCCGTCTGTAGCGGCCAGGGCTAACGGTAGCCCGTCTGCAGCGGCCAGGGCTAACGATAGCCCGTCTGCAGCGGCCAGGGCTAACGTTAGCCTGTCTGCAGCGGCCAGGGCTAACGATAGCCCGTCTGTGGCGGCCAGGGCTAACGTTAGCCTGTTTGCAGCAGCCAGGGCTAATGTTAGCCCATCTGCAGCAGCCAGGGGTAACGTTAGCCCGTCTGCAGCGGCCAGGGCTAACATTAGCCTGTCTGCAGCAGCCAGGGCTAACTTTAGCCCGTCTGCAGTGGCCAGGGCTAACGATAGCCCGTCTGCAGCGGCCAGGGCTAACATTAGCCCGTCTGCAGCGGCCAGGGCTAACGTTAGCCCGTCTGCAGCGGCCAGGGCTAACGATAGTCCGTCTGTGGTGGCCAGGGTTAACGTTAGCCCATCTGCAGCGGCCAGGGATAACGATAGTCCGTCTGTGGCGGCCAGGGTTAACGTTAGCCCGTCTTTAGCTGCCAGGGTTAACGTTAGCCCATCTGCAGCAGCCAGGGCTAACGCTAGACCGTCTCCAGCAGCCCTCTCTCTGCGTAGCTGAGTGTGAAGTACTGCTGGTTCTGATGACGACTTTTCTGTTTTATTTGGCAAAATCTTCATTTGATTTGTGTTTATCTGACTGTGTTAATCTTGATTCCCCTACTAAATGAGAAAAGTAAGAATTTATTATTATCGAAACTATTAATAGCAGGAGGTGAAATGCAGCTCCAGACGAGCTGAGCGTGTGGTGATGTCATCAGATCGCTTCTTTTCCATATTCATGCGGTGTGCTCTTGCTCTCTCCAATTCCAAATTTTCCTGTGTTCTTCTCAAGAACATACTTGGCGAAAGTTCTTCTGAATTGAGAAACAGGTCAAAGAGTTCTAGTTAGAATGTTGGTTGCTAGGCAACGGTACTGAACGTCAACGTGGGAAGAATTTAGAATGCAACTAATAGAGCCGTCAAATAACCGCTGTGGGAGATCGAGGTAAAATGAACCATAGTTAATTTTTATGATTTTATTTTATTTATGTGAAAATGAAGGAAATATAGAAATATAGTTGGTTACCACGATCAGCGTATGATTAATATAAATAAAGTTCTTTCCCTTTAAACTCTCAGAACCATCCAAATGACTTCCTTGGGAGTTCTAGTGTTGAGGCTGTTATTGTCATGCACCGTTCGTCCCTCTGAGGATCATCCTTTAAACTTCCCTCTCTCTCCTTTAGGTGGAGCACTTTGGGAAATTTGGGGTCATTTATTATGACATTAATCAAATCATCACTACAGCTGTGATGACACTGAGTAAACATTTCGACACCCACGGTCGCATCAAGGAGGTCCAGTACGAGATTTTCCGCTCCCTCATGTACTGGATGACGGTGCAGTATGACAGCATGGGCCGGGTGGTGAAGAGAGAGCTGAAGATCGGGCCCTACGCCAACACTACTCAGTACCGCTATGACTATGATGGAGATGGACAGCTCAGCGGTGTCAAGGTGAATTTCCCTTTTCACATTTACTCTCTTTATATTCTCTCTGCCTACAGGCTTGAATAATTCCTTGTTTTCTCACAGGTGAATGACTGGTCCACCTGGCGCTACAGCTACGACCTGAACGGGAACCTCCACTTGCTAAATCCGGGTAACAGTGCTCGGATCTTGCCCCTCCGCTACGATCTCAGGGACCGCATCACCCGCCTGGGAGACGTCCAGTACCGCCTGGACGAGGACGGCTTCCTCAGTCAGCGCGGCTCCGACGTTTTCGACTACAATTCCAAAGGTCAGCTCCTGAGGGCCTATAACAGGGGACCCGGAGGCTGGAGCGTGGTGTACCACTACGATGGGTTAGGGCGACGGGTGTCTACCCGGAACAGCCTGGGCCAGCATCTGCAGTTCTTCTACGCTGACCTGAACCACCCGACTAGGGTGACTCATATCTTCAACCACTCCAGCTCAGACATCTCATCGCTCTACTATGACCTGCAGGTGAGGCTGAGCCGAGATTTAAATAGAAATAACCAGAACGCTCTCCTCTGCAGGTACTGGCATCCTTTATAATTCCTACAGAAAAAATGTGACTAAAGCTATGAAACACCGTTTGTAAAGTTAAGAGGTCAAAAATTAGGAGAAATATTTATGATTATTTAGTGTGTTTTAAGAGAAAAAAAAAGGGTTTATTTTATTCCAAGTCATTTTTTCACTGTGTCATTCATTCATTTATAAAAACCATACTTTGTTAAATACATTTTTAATTTGGAGCTAAATATTTAGCTCCAAACTAAATATTTAGTTTTTTGTTTTTTTGTAATTCAAATTTTATTGATTTCTTGTACATTGTCAAATAAAATACAAACATGAACAGTAATGAACAGAAAAAGGCTGGCGACCACCACAACTGTAAATATTAAGTTTTTTAATTGAATATTTAGCTCCAAACTAAATATTTAGTTTGTTAAATAAATATTTTGCTCCAAACTAAATATTTAGTTTGCAAACAAAATATTTAGTTTGTTAAATAAATATTTTGCTCCAAACTAAATATTTAGTTTACAAACAAAATATTTAGTTTGTTGGATAAATATTTTGCTCCAAACAAAATATTTAGTTTGTTAAATAAATATTTTGCTCTAAACTAAATATTTAGTTTGTTAAATAAATATTTTGCTCCAAACTAAATATTTAGTTTACAAACAAAATATTTAGTTTGTTGGATAAATATTTTGCTCCAAACAAAATATTTAGTTTGTTAAATAAATATTTTGCTCTAAACTAAATATTTAGTTTGTTAAATAAATATTTTGCTCCAAACTAAATATTTAGTTTACAAACAAAATATTTAGTTTGTTAAATAAATATTTTGCTCCAAACTAAATATTTAGTTTACAAACAAAATATTTAGTTTGTTAAATAAATATTTTGCTCCAAACAAAATATTTAGTTTGTTAAATAAATATTTTGCTCTAAACTAAATATTTAGTTTGTTAAATAAATATTTTGCTCCAAACTAAATATTTAGTTTACAAACAAAATATTTAGTTTGTTGGATAAATATTTTGCTCCAAACAAAATATTTAGTTTGTTAAATAAATATTTTGCTCTAAACTAAATATTTAGTTTGTTAAATAAATATTTTGCTCCAAACTAAATATTTAGTTTACAAACAAAATATTTAGTTTGTTAAATAAATATTTTGCTCCAAACTAAATATTTAGTTTACAAACAAAATATTTAGTTTGTTAAATAAATATTTTGCTCCAAACTAAATATTTAGTTTGTTAAATAAATATTTTGCTCTAAACTAAATATTTAGTTTGTTAAATAAATATTTTGCTCTAAACTAAATATTTATTTATTTTTGTATATATTTATACAAAGTAAGGTTTTTATAAATGAATCAATGACACAATGAAAAAATGACTTGGAATAAAATAAACCCTTTACTTTTCTCTTAAAACACGCTATATAACCATAAATATTTCTACTAATTTTTGACTGCTTAAAGGGGAACACTGTTTTTTTTACATTGGGCCCTTGATTTTCCGTTATTCCATCATGTTCTACTCACCCATATGAGTTTAGTGTCATTTGGAGCCGTTCTGAAGATATTCCGTTAGGTTATATCCAAGTAACGTCTTCCTATGGGCAACGACTTGAAGGCACAAACTAAACTGTTCATCATTTGTCATTTATGGTACGCCAGATATCCGCGGTTATATTTTTTATATTTCCATGTTTTAAAACAAAGCGGAGTGTGTATGACGTATATTTAAAAAAAAAAATAGGTGTTCCCCTTTAACTTTACAAATGGTGCCCCATTCTAAATTACAGTTGATATATATATATATATATTTTTTTTTTTTTGTTTTCTTAAAATAGTCAAACTCCATCCACCATCTTCTTTAGGTGGTGAAATAGGTGGCCAATGATTAGCCAGAGGGTGACCATGGCAACCAATCATCATCCCCTTTAGCTTTGCTCCTGCTGGGATCCTTGTTAGAGGGCCTGGAATAATAAATCCCTAAAATAGCTCCAGATTTGATGGAAATCTGGTAGACTCTGTCTAGTAAAACAAAATAAAACCAAAACAACTAAAAAAACTCATTTAAATGTAAGATTGAAGATAAGATTGAAGCATGAATTCCTTTAAGGCTTTTCCTCCATCTTTACCAGTCAGGTTTGGTGAAAGTTGCTATGGAGCAGTTTCCACAGGTCATTACAAATCATTAAAATAAAAAAAATATTATGATTTATATTAATATGATTATTGTGGCATTTAAAATGCTTTTTTTTTTTTTAAGTTTATAAAAACTATTTTGTCAGATACAATATATCAGATATAACTGGTTCCGCTCGTTTGTGCGGAGCCTCTACTGGTTGATCATAAAGCCGTATTTTTGGAAAAGAAGCTCGATTTGGAGAAAAATCTAAAGAATTGGGAAAATGCAAATTTCATCAACAGTGGCTAGAAAACGAGGAGTTCAGGACATGGCTGCAGCCTGTCGACGGTAACGGTATATATGAGAGTCACGGGTGCATGATGGCATTAAAATAATTTCTAGCAGCATTAAAAGAGTATTGAATTAGAGTCCCTCATTCCTGTATAAACCCTGAGTAAACTCTGCTAAAGGCTGTTGGAATGTGAGATTCATTTTATTGAACCATCTCCTCATCAGGGTCACTTGTTTGCAATGGAGGTGAGCAGCGGGGAGGAATACTACATCGCTTCGGACAACACCGGGACGCCGCTGGCAGTTTTCAGCAGCAACGGGCAAATGATCAAACAGGTACGACTCAACTTCCTCCACTTCCACAAATAACTTCGCAAAATTAATTTCATAAAAACCAACCCACACTTTCCAGCATTTCATATCAAAATAAAAAAAAACGATATGAAATCAGCAAATGATATTAACAATAAAAAATACAATCTATCGTACACATATTTCAGAAATTTAAATTACACCCCTAATTGCTTAAATCGCCACTTTCTAAATTAGAACTCAATATATTCTGATCTTAGATCTCACCTTTCCATCCTACAGGCCCTAAATCCCATTCCCTTCACTTTTTCTCTTGTTTCTTTTCCTTTCAAATGCTTTTGTTTGCTTTTCTCCTTTGCTATATTTAGATTGATGTGAAATTGGTCTATTTAGAAATATAAATGGCTTATCTTCTATAAATACTTTAAATGGTAACCAGAGGCGTCAAGTAAGAAAGTAGAAATCTTTACTTTGGCTTCTACTGGCTATTTATACTTTACTGGAGCCATTATTTATTTAGACAACTTTTTACTTCACTTCCTAATAGTTTTTTGCAATTATCTCTCATTTCTACTCCTTACATTTTAATAATTGTCTCGTTAGTTTTATTTAATTTAAGCTCATTTTCTTTATGGCCTGTTGGTATAAAAAAAAAAAAATGAAAACCATCAAAACAATTAGTTTCATCCAGACAATTATTTTCTTTGACGTTAGACTCAGTGAACAAACCAAACTAAATCGTTTTTTCAAGATGATGCAACGTAAAATCTGACATTGTTACCATTAGTTGTAAAACTAAGAAAATGAAGTCTGAGGGGCGATGCCACTATCCGATGCGTTGTGGAAACATGATCCGTCCTGCAGATGCACGAACAGAATAACTTCCAGGTAGACAATACTTTGTTTTTCTTACTTTTTTTTTTTTTTTTTGTCCTATTCGTGTGGGGGGTTCCTTTTGAATATCTTTTATATTTGCGTAAATATTGCATATTCTAAACACGAAAAAAAGCTATGCATAAATAAACATAAATAAATAATAAAAAATAAAAAAATTAATAAAAAAATAATAATAAAAAGCCTTTGGAATGTTACTGTGACTGCGCTGAGAATTTCCCATGATGACGTCACACAATACAATGGAGAAAATGTAAAACGTCTCCATTACTTTCAGAAAAGTCTTCAATATTTTCCATACCATGTAGTTTAACATCCTTTAATGATTTAAGTATATAAATGAGTATTTTTAGTTTCGTTATTACAGTTTTGGGCGACCTGGATCTTATTATTTCGTTTGCGCATGAACAGGACAGATCGTGCTTCCAGGACGGATCATCCGTCCAGAAGTTATCATCTAGAATTGTAGAAAAATGTTTCTTTGACAGGGTAGCGTACGGAAGAGGATTAGGGCCACTGTAAAAAAACAACAGTTAACTGATTTTTACATATTATTTCACTTTAATATATGAAAATAGTCAGAATTCTGACTTTATTCACAGAATTCTGACTTTTTTCTTAGAATTCTAACTTTATTCTCAGAATTCCGACTTCATTCGCAGAATTCTGACTTTATTCTCGGAATTCTGACCTTAATCTCAGAATTCTGAATTTAATCTCAGAATTCTGACTTTAATCTCAGAATTCTGAATTTAATCTCAGAATTCTGACTTTATTCTCGGAATTCTGACCTTAATCTCAGAATTCTGACTTTAATCTCAGAATTCTGACCTTAATCTCAGAATTGAGGATCTTAATGTAGATGGGCACCATGAAGGCAGAGATGTGGAGCACTCAGCTTCACTGACAAAGATGAGAGTAGTTTGGGAGAAACAGGAACACATTGGTGGGAAATGATGGAATTAGGCAAACTTTTACGTGCCTGAGGGCCCCTGGTGATGCTATTTGATTAATGGAAGAGCAGAAGGTGATTAAAAAAAGACAGCTAGTCTCTAAAACAGACATGGCTACGAATGGATGCTAACATGTTTGTTAGCTGACAGAATTCTGAGAAAAAAAGTCTGAATTTTGAGATTAAAGACAGAATTCTGACTTTTTCCCATATTCAACTGAAACATATATATTAAATATTTAAAAATCAGTTAACTTTTTTTGTTTTTTTAGTGGCCCTAATCCTCTTCTGTAGAAATGCAGTTTAGCTTCTGTCCTTAACATTTTAAGTAGTGTTAAAATGGTTCTTTTACTCTTTTACTGGAGTAAAAAGCTGAACTTGTTTCTTTAACTTCTATAAAGGTGTTTTTAAACAGTAGGATTTATACAGCAGTAATAAACATGAATATTTTTGACTCCTCTGGTGGTAAATCTTAAGTACTGCACGTACCTTTAATTGTTTGTGTGTAAATAAACAATAAAAAAAGAAAAAATGGACTAAGCTTATGGTAACATTAGTCCTTTTTCTGCTGCTCCTGCCCTCAGGTCCAGTACACAGCCTATGGGGAGGTCTACCTGGACTCTAACCCAGAGTTCACGCTGGTGGTGGGTTTCCACGGGGGCCTCTATGACCCGCTCACCAAACTGGTCCACTTCACCCAACGAGACTATGACGTATTGGCTGGGCGCTGGACCTCCCCCGACTACAGCATGTGGCCCAAGATCGGGAAAGACCTCTCCCCGTTTAATCTGTACATGTTCAAGAACAACAACCCGCTCAGCGACATGCTGGACGTCAAGAACTACGTCACAGGTAGAGTGTTATGGGATGAGGATTTAGGCATGAAATTATCTTCACAGGGATGCTGGGCCTTTTTTTTCTGCTCTGCAGTATTAAGATATGCCTCAGATCTCAGTAAACACAGGCTGATCTTTACTTCAGCTGTGATAATGTCAGTAATCTGCAGGCCTCTGGAGGAAAAAAGAGAGAAATAGTGTAACAGATGGAGCGGCGGTGTGAGTCACAGAGGCGGCGTACTCTTCAGGAGTTTTATGAAAAAATAAAAACTGATGATTCCCTTTCATGTTTCGCTGTGTCATTTAGCAGAGAGTGTTTTCTGTCTCATCTCCTTCTGTAGATGTGAAGAGCTGGCTGGTGATGTTTGGCTTTCAGCTCAGCAACATAATCCCAGGATTTCCTCGACACTCGTTGTACTTTGTGGAGCCGCCGTACGAGCTTCAGGCCACCCAACACTGTGAAAACGGACAGGTAAAGCCAACCATGCAAAAATAAAGGACCCTAAAAAAAGTGGTAGTTTAGACGCCCTAGAAAGACACGAAGTTCTTCCTTTTTCATTTTAATTATTGAAAGGAAGGTTATTAGTCTTTTTTTCAATAAATGTATTTATTTGATTACCTCATCATTTTGAACATAATTTTAATTATTAGAATTAAACACATAATTGTGCATTTTATAATTTAATTGTTTAATCTAATTGGGATATAAATGTTCTAATCATTTTTATTTCTATAGCGCCAATTCACAACACGTCATCTCAAGGCACAAGATCATCCAGTCACATTGATTCAAAGTTTCCTATTTAAGAAAAACAAACTGATTGCATCGACTCATTGACTCTTCAGCAATCCCTCACACTAAGCATGCTTGTAGCGAAAGTGGAGAGGAAAAACTCTCTTTAAACAGGAAGAAACCTCTAGCAGAACCAGCCAGTAACAGTCAGAGAAACAGGACTAAACATGAGATCGAAATAACAGAATCTGCAGAGTGGGAGAATAGAGATAGAATGAAGCAGAATGATGAAAAAGGGGTCCCTATGTCCTCCAGCAGTCTAAGCCTATAGCAGCAGAACTATAGAGATAGCTCAGGATAACCTGAGCCACTCTAACTAGAAGCTTTATCAAAAAGGAAAGTTTTAAGCCTAACATTTACATTAAATCTACTTCCTTTATTGGACATTTATTTATATTATGTATTTTGGGCCTCCATGTATCTAAGGGTTCGCATCCTTATGATTGTGAAAACCATCTTGGGACCCCCTGTTTGACTTTTCATGATCCCCCAGGGGGTCTCGACCCCCAATTTGGAAACCTCTAATCTAGAGAAGAAATTTTTTTCCTTACATAAAATCTTTAAAGGCATACTATGCAACATTTTTCAGTTAATTAATGTGTTCTATAACGTCTTGGATGATTAAATGAGTCATTTCAGGTTGAACAAAGGTTTTCTCGGCCGCCCTGGTGGTCTGTGGGGGAAATACTGTACTTGCAATTGCAGGAGCCCTCGGCCCGCACCCACAGGCTCAGAAGTCTCGTGCATCGCGAGAGTCGGTCTTGCTTTACGGCGAGAACTTGGCTAACTACAATCTTTGTTATTTAGACACATGCATAACAAATAATGTATGAAAACATGCTAAAATTTCTAACTCAAAAATTGGAGCAAAATAGTCACTTACCGCAGTAGACATGGTGATTCGTTGCGTTCGCCTGTCTGCTAAGCTCAAAACAACCGCGCCTGGCTTGATGGAGAAACCAGGAGAACAGCGGAGCATATTTACGACAGCGCACTTTTACTTTCGCCCTCTGGGGGGAGCCTCGCTGGAAAATCAACACCTGTTGCATAGTGTACCTTTAAGCCCAGACTGAATGTAGAGCAGCTGTGATGAGGGATTTTTAAGTCTCACCAAAGATTCCCAGCTTTTGATAGTTTGCGACTTTGACTGGGCCGTTGTGACACATCCATATTTCTTTTTTATTTCATTATGACTTTATTTTTTCTGCTTATTGTCCAAAATTTCAATCTCTAAACTATTTTCCTTCAAGACTGGCCAGCGTATAACAGCATTTATTAAAAGCCCACAGCATTAGACTGCCAACTCTATGCAGTGTTCAGGATGAGGTGCAGTCTAATTTTAAACCTCATGTAGAAATGGGAATCTAGACGTCAGTCTTTGTCTGCTTCTATGGCAGCTTCCTCGATGGAAATGCGTATAATCTGGAAAACTGCGAGTTATTGTTTGGCTTCATTTCAGCCACTCTTCCAAAGGTTCTTTTGTTGATTTATTACTAAAATTATTTCTACAGGCAGATGGTGGCGCTGGGTTTTATTTTAGGGTAGTGGAGTCAATTGGGGTGAATCCTGATTGCTTTCATAGGGGTTTATAGAAACTAGAAACTACTTGGCGTTGTGTGATACATATTTGAGGATGTGGTGTTTACATTAGTAAAATATTTTTTAGTTTTCCCTCTAATCTAAAATCTCTAATCTCTGCTCTGTGGTTTTTCTCTTTGCCTTTCAGCTCATCACAGGTGTGCAGCAGGCAGCTGAGCGCCACAACCAGGCCTTCATGGCCCTCGAGGGCCGCCTTCTCAACAAAGAGCGTCGCAGACGTAAAGACAAGCCCGGCCACTGGTTCGGCACCAGCACTCCCATCATCGGGCGAGGAGTAATGCTGGCCCTTAAAGAGGGCCGGGTGGTGGCTGGCGTGTCGCCTCTGGCCAGCGACGACAGCCGCAAAATAGCTCTGGTGCTGAACGGCGCCCAGTACCTGGAGGGCACTCATTACACTCAGGACGGGAAGGACTGCCACTACTTCGTGAAGGTGGGCTCTGCCGACAGCGACCTTTTGGCCCTGGGGCTCACGAATGGAAGGAAGTCACTGGAGAGCGGCATCAACGTGACAGTGAGCGGCCGATCGAGGAGAGGCGTGACGGTGGAGTTTGCGGTTCCCTCGTTAGTGCTGAGCGTTCGCTACGGCCTCTCTGTGGACGTGGTGGACGAGGAGAAGGTCAGACTGTTGGAGCTGGCCAGGCAGAGGGCGCTGGCGGGGGCTTGGGCTAAGGAGCAGCAGCGCGCACGAGACGGGAAGGGGGGCAGTCGCCTGTGGACTGAAGGGGAGAGGCAGCAGCTTCTATCGACAGGCCGGGTCCAGGGCTACGACGGATACTACGTGCTGCCGGTGGAGCAGTACCCAGAACTGGCTGACAGCAGCAACAACGTCCAGTTTCTCCGACAGAACGAGATGGGCAGGAGGTAACAGCCCACAGGAACCCCGCTGACTCTCCTAACATCTCTGGATTGTGTCCCTCTTTCCTAACCCCGCCTCCTTAACTTTACTCCTCTGAAATCAAGGGAGAATGATCCGACAGACGGGGTTTCTCGTGGAACGCTGCAGGGACTTTTCAAAAAGAATGAAAAACATATTGTTCATTTTACTGCCACAGGCAAAAAAAATTAATGTTTAGTCTTTTATTGTTTTGTTTTTTTCTTTTTTTGGAAAAAAAACTTTGAACAACTGACAAAAAAAAGCACTGAAGAACTCTGACAACTGTTGCTTAACCAATAAGGAGATTCCCCCCTTTTTTTGAAAAAGAAAGTGATATTTTCGCCCATATTTTTTGGGTCACGCAGAAAAACAGCCACGATAGCAACCCAACAGGACGGAGGCTGCACTGCGCCGGCCTCTGCGGTCTGGTCTCTAATACAGACACTGAAGGCAAAGGGACCAAAGCGGAGACCAAACCTCCTCAGAGCGGAGCCATCACCCGACACGCATCACAAAACAGCGACGTCAACGCGAGCCGTCTCCCCGTCTCTCAGGCCTCCCATCGTCCGTCCACCAGACCAGTTCCTCCGCTGATGAGCCAAGCAACAGGACAACGGCATCCATGAACATCCCAGCTGATGATGAACTGCAGCAAATACTCAAAAATATAATAAATAAAGAAAAAAAAACTACGAAAAGGAAGTAAAAAAAAAAAAAAACGACGGCTATATCTGTGGAAAGTGGCATAGCACCACCTTGTTTATTTCTCAACGGGGAGGAGAATCATATCCTCATACATATGTGTCAGATTACACTTAAAACTTTCAGGATGTTGAGTATACCGTAGATGCCGTAGTTTTGTACGTTTCAGTCACGGTAGAATTGTGAGATTTTCACCAAGGCACTTCTGTACAGAGCGAACGTAAACAGACACACACACAGCACTCACTGAGTCCGACAGACATGCTGACTTTCTATTTATTTCGTTTGAGTCTTTCTTTTTTTATTTATTTATTCTTAGTACTAAATGACAATCATGAATGAGTCACCAGTTTTTATCGAGACGAACATGGATGGACGAGCTTCTTTTGTTTTGTACGATATGTAAGAAATGTTCATTTCGGTTTTTGTATTTGCTTTTTTTTTTTTTTGGTTTGCTGACGTGGGGGGGGGGGACAATAGTCAACCGGCAAAAAGAGTCATTTATGTAATGAGGTGTTTTAAAAAGCAGTTTATACTTTAAATAAAGTCTTTAAAACTGTGAAATCTGTTTTTTGGAAGTATATTTCGATGTACAGTGTATAGATTTACCTTTATGCAGCACAGTAGAATATTGTTCAGAATATCAAGTTTTATATTTCTAAGAGGAAGTGGCTTGTAATGTGCGAAACCTTTAGCTGCTCTTACTACTCTAGAGTTTTGTGGCACTCTGATACTTCATTATCTACGATATCCGTCCAAAGTTTGTTTGGATTTCTTTGGTTTTTGTTGGTTGGTTTGTTGTTTGGAAAGCAGATTCTTTCTGTCCTAGATCCCAACAGCAGTAGCAGTAATGGATCCCTCTCACTGTGAGGAGACTCGTGCTGGATGTCATAATGTACCAAATCAGTATTATCAGAGGGTGATTCTTATACATTCACTGAAACGAGACTCTTCTGAGAAGCTTATCAATAAAACATAATTGTTTACTTCAACTGAGCGACGTGTAGTTGGCTTTCATCTCATCTCCTGCGTCTGAAGATCACGGATCCCCTGATAGATCACCATTATCATCCAGGCACTCAAGGTCCATTCTCATTAGCTGCTTTTCAGAAGCAATCTTTGGAGCCCTGATGATGCATTAGACAGCCAGGGTTAACGGCTAATTATGCAACAAACTCAAGGATAGGATTTTTATTTTTTGTTCCTAGCAGATAAAAACACCCACTCTCTATATTCTTGATCATTTTAACTTATATTAAAGTTTTAGTTGTAGATGAAAAGAAAACAATAAATAGTTTTATATTTCTTTAAAAAGACGAATGTCTGTCAGTGGTTTGCATTTTAACAGGGGCGGATTTAGGAAACTTGAGGCCCAGCAAAGACAGTCGGGGGGCCCTCTAAATTGAGCAGACAACACATAAAACAGACCCATTATACAGATAGAGAAATGTTAATAGAATAGACATCCATTATTTGTTCTACCTTCTGTTTTATGTTGTCCCTTTTTCTTTTCATATTGGCAATGTTCTCAGCTGATTTTCATGCTGATTCCACACTGCAAAAACGATCTAGAAATAAGTAACATTTTCTTAAATTAAGTGCATTCACTCTGAATTTGAGTAGGTAAATGAGATAGTTTGCCAATGGAATGAGTAATTTTACTCTTAAAATAAGATAATTAGATAATATGCACTTGAAATAAGACAATGCAATTGTGTTTTCTTATTTTAAGTGTAAATTGCCTTTTTTTATTGGCAAAATGTCTTTTTTACCTCCTCAATTCAAGAACAAATGCACTTATTTTCAGAAAAAAATGACTTATCTAGATTTAGATTTTTTGCAGTGCAAAGAAATGAGAGATTTTTCCAATCAGCTAAGTGAGCTTAGCTGATTGTTTCCAAAAAGGCGACAGTAAAAGTAGTTTTTCTTTTCACTGTAGACAAGCCATGATCTGCTTATCTGTTCTCCATTTTTCATTTGGATGAAATAATAGCTGCATGAATCCTGACAGCAGACAAGATAGAGGAGAGCAGGAGGCGGGGTTACCAATCTACTCGCTCTGGAGAGCAGAGTTCGCTGCTTTTAGATGTTGTCTCCAAAGTCTCCAATAGCAGAAAAAAGTCTCTAGATTTGGCGCTAGGAGCGTTTTAGAAATCAAAGTGCTAGAGGGGTCTGAAAAGTGGCTAAATATAGCGACTAAAGCGCTAAGTTGGCAACACTGCTCTTTGCATGGTTTGTTTTCAAATGGTTTGCTGCTGTCTGTTTGGACCTTTCTGAACATGTGCAGCAAATGGACTGATCCAATATGGTGGACACTGAAGGGGGGGGCGAGACACACTTAATATTATCAGCGTTCTGATGGCATTTTAGCCAAAGGATTTTGTTTATTAATGTAGCATTGCCTGATGGTAAATCCCCCCTGATTTCACTCACAGTCCTGATCACAGGATAAATACAGATGTTCTGTAAGTGAATTTTTTTTTTAGAGAAGAATCCTCATCTTTAACAGAATACAGGCCATAGATAAAACTGTTAGAGACGTTTTTGTGTTTTTGGGTAAAGAGAAAATTATTTGTCTCTGCAGGTCATCTAAGAGTCTTCAGTAAAATTATTGATAAATAACAGTTTTAATAAAACAAATTAAAAAATCTATTTATGTAGATATTAGTACTTGCAAATATCAATTTTATGCAGAATGATAATTGATAAAAGTAGGTAAGTAATGACAATGGAAAAGATGTTTGTCCCAGAACTCAAACCTTAAAGAATTGTATTCACTATACCTTTTATCTGGAAAGCACAGATGTTTAAATATCTATGCGTCTATTTGTCAGCAAAGGTTGTAGAAAAGTATAGTTTGTCTTTATTTAGAAAAATGGATGTTGTGCCCTTTAATTTCCCTGTTGTAGACTGACCCCGTTATTGCCTGGGAAGGACTGGGTTATTTACTTTGGCCTTTTTGGAAACACAGGAAGGAGCAATCAGCTAAGTGAGCTTAGTGCTTGGAAAAAATCTTTCATTCCTTTAGAGACAGCATGAAAAGTCAGCTGAGTACAAAACATAGAGAGGAAAACAAGAAGAAAAGGGACAAGAAGAGAGGGACACAACCTAGAACTGATAATGGATGTCTATTCTATTAACATTTCTCTATCTGGAGAATGGGGCTGTTCTATGTGTTGTCTTTTCAATATAGATGGCCCCCCCTACCTGTCTTTGCCTAGGGCCTCAATTTTCCTAAATCCGCCCCTGAACAAACATTTCTGTGTGATTTTGGATCAGATCAGATCTTTACAGGAGGTAATGTAGGGAAAGGATACAGAACTTCTGACAGGATCTACCGTTTATTCTAATTTCAGCTGATCTACAAACAGCTAAATTTACTCCTGGTATTAACCAGAAATGTTCCTCAAATAAAAGTAGTGATAATCTAACAAAACTATTACTCAAGTAAGAGTAAAAATATGGAAATGAACGTCTATCCATCTTCTCCCTTTGTCAGGGTTGCTGTTGGGCCAGGACAGGTCGTCAGTCCATCGCAGGGCCACTCACCCACACCTAAGGGGAATTTAGAGAAGCCAATTAACCTAACAGTCATGTTCTTGGACTATGGGAGGAAGCCGGAGTACCCGGAGAGAACCCCCACATGCAGAGAGATCAAACCCAGAACCTTCTTGCTGCAAGGCAGCAGTGCTACCCACTGCATCACTATGAAGCCTTATGGAAAAGAACAACTACTCCTAAAACTATATTTCTTTCTAAAAATTGCTCTAATAAATGTAACTAGTTACCACCTTTGGTCATCATTGCATCTTTTGACCACATCCCAATAATACTAAAATAAAAGCAGGCAGCCTATTTAAGAGAAAGGCTTTAAGTTATTCCTGTCCAATAATGTTTGGGAGGGAAAACTAAAGGGATTAATTATGTACAAAAGCATAAGGTCCCCCGAAAGGCTCCTTTATAAACTTTGAAATACCAGAAATCCTTTAATATACACTATATTGCCAAAAGTATTTGCTCACCCATCCAAATTATTGGAATCAGGTGTTCCAATCACTTCCATGGCCACAGATGTATAAATTCAAGCACCTAGGCATGCAGACTGTTTTTACAAACATTTGTGAAAGAATGGGTCGCTCTCAGGAGCTCAGTGAATTCCAGCGTGGAACTGTGATAGGATGCCACCTGTGCAACAAATCCAGTCGTGAAATTTCCTCGCTCCTAAATATTCCACAGTCAACTGTCAGCTGTATTATAAGAAAATGGAAGTGTTTGGGAACGACAGCAACTCAGCCACGAAGTGGTAGGCCACGTAAACTGACGGAGCGGGGTCAGCGGATGCTGAAGCGCATAGTGCGAAGAGGTCGCCAACTTTCTGCAGAGTCAATCACTACAGACCTCCAAACTTCATGTGGCCTTCAGATTAGCTCAAGAACAGTGCGCAGAGAGCTTCATGGAATGGGTTTCCATGGTCGAGCAGCTGCATCCAAGCCATACATCACCAAGTGCAATGCAAAGCGTCGGATGCGGTGGTGTAAAGCACGCCGCCACTGGACTCTAGAGCAGTGGAGACGCGTTCTCTGGAGTGACGAATCGCGCTTCTCCATCTGGCAATCTGATGGACGGGTCTGGGTTTGGCGGTTGCCAGGAGAACGGTACTTGTCTGACTGCATTGTGCCAAGTGTAAAGTTTGGTGAAGGGGGGATTATGGTGTGGGGTTGTTTTTCAGGAGCTGGGCTTGGCCCCTTAGTTCCAAGGAAAGGAACTCTGAATGCTTCAGCATACCAAGACATTTTGGACAATTCCATGCTCCCAACTTTGTGGGAACAGTTTGGAGCTGGCCCCTTCCTCTTCCAACATGACTGTGCACCAGTGCACAAAGCAAGGTCCATAAAGACATGGATGACAGAGTCTGGTGTGGATGAACTTGACTGGCCTGCACAGAGTCCTGACCTCAACCCGATAGAACACCTTTGGGATGAATTAGAGCGGAGACTGAGAGCCAGGCCTTCTCGTCCAACATCAGTGTGCGACCTCACAAATGCGCTTCTGGAAGAATGGTCAAAAATTCCCATAAACACACTCCTAAACCTTGTGGACAGCCTTCCCAGAAGAGTTGAAGCTGTTCTAGCTGCAAAGGGTGGACCGACGTCATATTGAACCCTATGGATTAGGAACGGGATGTCACTTAAGCTCATATGTGAGTCAAGGCAGGTGAGCAAATACTTTTGGCAATATAGTGTAGATCTAGTCAACCCAGAGGGGAAAAAAAAAATCTGTTGTTTTTTTAATAGGAAAATAAATTAACAAAATGGTTCAAAACGTACAAGTAGTTTATTCAAGTATACTAAAAGTGCACTAATTTCATACTTAAAATCAGGCAGTGCACTTAGAGTTTACTTATTCTAAACTATATTTCATATACTTAACAATAGTATAGTCAAGTATACTTGACTATACTATTGTTTACTTTATTTTTTACTAAAGTATACTTTCAGTATACTTTAGTAAACTTAAAAATGTCCCAATTTAGTTCGAAGAGGTGTCACTTTAGTAATACTTCAAGTACACTAAAAGTACATTGTTCGGTATACTTTCTAAACTTATACTTAAGTATTCCTAATAGAATTTACTTCAAGTATACTACTTTTTGCTAATGGTATAAACCTGGTGAACAGATAGAAAACTTTGGCTGGATTTGATTTCATGGGCTGCGTCTTCCAAGGAAGCGCTCTACCTGGACCGGATCCTTCCAAGGAAGCGCTCTGCCTGGACCGGATCCTTCCAAGGAAGCGCTCTGCCTGGACCGGATCCTTCCAAGGAAGCGCTCTGCCTGGACCGGATCCTTCCAAGGAAGCGCTCTGCCTGGACCGGATCCTTCCAAGGAAGCGCTCTGCCTGGACCGGATCCTTCCAAGGAAGCGCTCTGCCTGGACCGGATCCTTCCAAGGAAGAGCTCTACCTGGACCGGATCCTTCCAAGGAAGCGCTCTG